GTTCCCGAAAGGCCGGAGCCAAATGCTAACAGTTATATGATGCAATAACTGTAAATTGTCTGCTAGAGGCTGCGGGGAAATATTACTCAAAGAAGTCGCAACCGCGCAAGGGCGATAGCTAGGCATTAGTATTACACTAGTTAGAAACAATGAGCGCTTAGAGAATACACAGTCTTAGAGCAAATTTCTCAATACATGTTCAAGAAAGGCATTCTCTAAATTTCGAAGTAGGAAGTGTATATCATTAGAACATATAACATACGTATCAATGAAGAAGAACATTGAATTTGGTTCAAATAATTGCTGGGAAACCCCTCTCTTATATAATACTTTAGTCTGCAAAAGTTCTCTTCTATTATAAACAAACCAGAACGATCTTGAATAACACTAAGAGGCTAAATTGATACTTTGTTTACCCGTTCGCGCACGGTGCGCTATATCTCTCTATACTTCCTACAGCATCGTTAGAATGGCTGACCCCATCCGGTGACTCAAATTTTGCAAAATCCATTGAGACAATGATAAGGCGCTTGGTATGGGACACTTGAGCTGCATGACCATCCTTCGCACCTTAAAACAAGGGCTGGTCAGTACAAGTAGATTGACTGTTGAAGTATTTCACTTACCCCCAGTTACAAGACTTATCACTACAGATGCCATTAGGGCTGAGGCATGTCAGACCACTCTTGCACAGCAGGGTCTTTCCATCACACTTAGAACCTAGATCACCATCTGAGGATCTTGATCAGCCTGAAGTGGCAGGCCAGGACGTACCAGGTGCATCATGTTGTGTATTGACTTTGCCTGTAAGCTCTCACTTCACTCCTTTGATAACAATGTTCTTGTCTCCATTAGGATTTCCATGGATTGCTGCAAACGCATCAGTTATGATGTCGATAGATCCGGGCGACTACGTGTATGTGAGTAGTATATCGTGTAAAGTTCATGTTATAACCTACCTTAACCTATGCATTGTCAAATGAACCCACGATGTACATGAGTTTTATATTTCCAGTGATGGGGTCAGTAACCTTAGCTTCCAGGCCACAATAATTTCAAGTTTTAGCTCTCCAAGCGTCTGGGTTAGAGCTCCACGTAGCACCTCCCATTGCCTTCAGGGACTATCAAATGTAAGCTACCAACCTCGGAAGGCTTAAGAATTTCTAGGAGAACTTACAACAGCAAAAACTGGATCGCTGTTAGAATATGGGTAACCACACCAGCTTTTTCCAGTAGTAGAATCTTGGCTTGCAGATGCACGATACCAAGAGCCAATACCAGACTATCAACCGGAAAAGAAATCAACGGGTACAGTAACAGAATAGATTCCCGCTGATGCTGGTACCGCAATGGCTCCGATGATCGAAGACATAGTGATAAGAGATAGCATGGCGGGCAGCATTGATAAGTCGGACGATGGCGTGTTTGAAGATTTTGAAGTTGTTGCTTAAATCTTGGTAATCTATCTGTACGCCTTCTAGCCCTATTTATGTTTTTCGATCCTTGAATTTTACCTTGCATATTACAGAAACATATGAGAGATTACGAGGTCGCCGATACCGATCATCCTTGCGGTGCCTAAATTATCACCCTCTATCGTGCCGTTTGCAACATACGAAACCCGCTGACAAGCATATCCGAGATGGGTTAACTATAAGGGCTTATTTTAGGGGATTAATCTTGGATATGTCGCCTAGCCTATCCAGACTAATACGGACATATCATATTCCGTGATTGTCCCAGAAACAGTAAGTGGCCGGTATATCTTCCAAAGAGATGTCGAATAATATTGTTTGTAGCCCGTTGCTGAACAATTTGGTTTTTGCCTCGACCGGCCAAGGTTATCATATGATAAAAACAGATTAGTCGAACAGTCCTGTTTTCTATGCTTGCATAATATTATTAATAGTGTTACCAGCTAAGATGAGGAATTCATCATCGAGTAAGACGCCTACATGGGCTCAGTTGTTCTGATGGACATTCGCTAAGTACATGGCTGAAGAACATCTGTCCGTGATTCATTACTTCGAATCTAACTACAGTCCCCTGTTAAATCAGAGATTCCCAGTAAGCTTACAAGGTCGTCATCTGATATCAGCCAACTTGATCCCCAAGCCTCATTACCTTTATTGCGAGACGACCAGATAAATTGGATAAGGTCTTGCCCTTGCTTCAGTGCAGTCCGCCAAGGATACATCTTGGTGAATAAATCCATTGATTGAGTGATATAATCCTCCAGCTCGTTCGCTTCGAAAGGCGAAATTGAAGTGGATTGGAGCCTGAGCAGCAAGACCAGGCAAGCTTGGAAGAGAAACCAAGATGCTTTCCACGACAATAACTGATTTGGGTACCAGGTCCTTGCAATCGTATCCACTGTCTGTTTTGCGACACAGCAGCAGGTGTTTGCAAAAGACATCAGGTCACTATGGACATTGCCAGCCTTTACGCACTGAACGAGCAAAAATGGTCTATGGAGGAGCATACGCGTGTTCAAATATCGGTATTCGATGAAGAGAGCTGCCAAAGAAATATCCTGATTGGGTTCAGAGTCTCCCCGGAATACAAGATGATGATTGTCGTGCCATTTGAGAAGCTCGTTATCAAACTGTTTCACAGCAGCAGGCGGAATCAATGGGGTCTTAGCTATTCGTCCCTGTATGCGAGCAGCGATAATGGAAAATGTGACGCTCGCGTTCATCGAGATAGCGCCATAATCCTATGATCAGTTAGAGTGTGGTGAATTATGAAACTCACCTAGGATAGTGAATAAGTCAGGGCACTCACCAGGAAACCACGGCGTAATGCCGACGCTTCATTCAAGCCAGCCATACCCGGAACATGGCATGGTGGACGGCCAAGAGTTGTTCCAGCCCAAGTATCAAGACAGAACAAACACCACCAAGTCCTAGTGCGCACGCCGGCCATCCAATGACTTTCCGCCGAGGCTATTTTGTCTAACGGAATCTCTCGATGCAATCCCATTGCTAAAGCCATGCGATGAGCTGCACCCAGAACAGCATTCGCCATATTTGGTTTATTCAGAAAATGCAGATACCAGCCACCAAAGAGGATCAAAGCCTGAAGCATATACAAATGACCCACACCAAAGCACGAAACGTTCATGTTCTCTAATGCTCGCTGAGAGAAATGTAAGTGCCCAGCTTTACTATCGTCGTTACAGGATATGTAGCCAAATGCAAGAACCATATTCAGTAATGCTAGCCACGGGTCACGAGCAAGGTCTGTTCTACCGCCGTGAGTATAACACTGACGAAAGTCGGCTTCATCCACCATAGGAAGGATGGGATGGAGGAACTGAAAGTATGCATCGATCAAGGCAGATTCATCCGTTACCTGCCGTTGACTTGCTGGCGGACATGGAACTTGTGAGAATGATAGCGGTAGGTTAAGTAGTGGTGCGTTGGTCGGTTCCTGGTTGGCTTCCATCTTCTTCGTCTGTATCGCATAGCTAAGATGAGGTGAAGTGTAAGCCATTACATGGAGTATCGCTGGAACTGAGGATATTCCTAGATATGAGCGGCCACTATCCGTATCAAAGAGAGCGGTGATTCCATTGACATCGTCGATCCCAGCCTGGCGCTGTTGATTCGCGACATCAAAACGCTCGTCCCAGATAAATTCTTGAGTTCGCGGACCTTCAAACCCCAACAAAATTTCTGTCGCTGCCGGGTCTGACGTCTGCGCTGCTTCTGCCTGCGCAAATTCAATGACAGTCTGAGGGGAGATGAGACTGATGAGTTCGTCGCGGGACAGTGTATCTAGGTATTGGATACTTAGGCCGGGAAACAAGCGCTCAAGAATTCTTTGGGCTGTGTTGTACGCGTCCGATAAACTTTCATAAGCTCTGCTTGCATCCGTCAGTGTCAAACAATGACATGTTCAGACATGAAACATTAATGAAAAATCGACAGACGGACTTTACTGTGGTGACGCGACGGTACTGTCTCTGAGGATAGTAACAGCGCTCTGGGACTTGGTAATAGACACACTGGGCACAAGGGACTTGTTCGCCGTCGCATCGGATTCGTCGTCGTCGGCATTCAGCACATGATCGAGTTTTGCGAGAGGAAACCGCCAGGTTTGATTTTTCACTGCCACCCATAGCACTTGTTCCAAGAGGCTTGGTACGCTCTTCTGCCATACTATCTTCTGCTCACGTGCTGTACAGGAAGTAAGGAGCTTGAGGGAGCCACATGCCGAAAATAATCCAATTAAGAAAGCCCAGGCAAATGTGCGCATATGGCAGGTGTACTGGATCGGAACTCGGGAGGCAGATAAGAAACAGATACCTAGCACGGGATTTTGAATTTACGCCTTAGCCTTAGCACACAGCAGTCTAGTTGCCTATCTGTCGGCGTCTCCGAGCAGCCGGAGCAGACGAAACACAAGTGTCCCTAGCACGGAATTTCGTACTCACGCTTTAGCCGTGCCTAGTTGCATATCTATTATTAGTGCTCCCAAAGGGAATAGGTTGGACTAAGCTAATTTTGGCCAGTTCAGTCTGCAACACCTACCTGGTATGCGCTCGATGCGTGCTTCTTAGCACAGATTTTCTCTTGAGACCAATGAGTTTTTGATTCGTGGTAGGAACGGATGATGCGCAGTGTCATGAAATGTCCAGCTGTTACGAACGATGAGAAAGACTTTCTCGTTGACAGGGTGTGAAGGATCGAGAGCTGACTGGCGATCCCGTTAGAGGATAACGATCATCGCGGGGAAAAATCACGTGCCAGGCACCCCGGCAAGAATGGTTATCCGAGCCGAGGGATGGCAAGCTATTACAAATATTCTTGACATCTCAAAGAGGTTATGGATGGACGGAATAGCCCATCCTAGAACAATGACCATGAAAGTTGGGCGGATCTTATCATTTATTCGTTACTTACGATCAACTCTCATAAGTCATTCAATGCTGTTACAAAATCGATTTGGCTTTACTCGTTCACGTTCCCGCGATCCCACGACATAGTAGCTTCGCCAGCCAATCGTACAGCTTCCTATAAGGAGATTGACTCAGTAAAGTACTATACCAAGGGCAATGTGTTCGAAGCAACAAAGAGCTTTCTCTTCCTCAACGAGGTACGGAAGGTAAGAGGCCGACCGACATCCACGTGATTGACATCATGTCAAGACTAACTGTCAGACAATATTATGTGATGGCAGCATTAGAGGAAGCAGGGGTTGCGTTGTGGTGGCCGTACTGGTCCTTCAACCGATTTTAAATCGTATCCACCGTGGCTTGCCTAGATAGTACAGGGTGTGACCTCAGTAATCTGTTCTTAGCATGCCTCGAATACTCCCGATAATTTCTCAGCTACATCGGCAACGTAGTTTCTAGCTTCAGGCCACTTTGAGCCTCTAGAATGCTTTCTTCCTGGGGTAATTGCCTGATGTATGACCCCTCCCAGCATGACAAAAGTTGATTTTCTCGGGCAAATTCTTCGTGTGTAAAATGACAGTGTGACACTTTCGAAATCTGGATCACATCCCATACGAAAGCTATCTTTAGTGCTTACAGCACATGTGCCACATTTTGAGCAATGTCAGTACATAGAATTGTAGCAACTACAAAATCAGGCAGAAAACGCAGAGTATAACTTATACGCTGTATTTGCTTTCCTGTTGTCTAATTTCTATCTGGTCATTTGCACATCCCTCCTACGAATTTTCTCTTTCATAAGTGGAAACGCCTTCCAAAGCTGCGCTGCTATTTGTCCTTTTGGGAACATTCATTGCATTTCTTAACACCAAAACATAGAATATAAGAAGGAATGGACGAAGAAAGATGACAAACTACCAGACTTTTCCTATGCTGGTTATCACTGATCTGAAACACCGCTTCCGGAACGAGACCACCCCGCAGCATATACCCTTCGCGCTAGATCAGGAGACCAAACACGATACATCCAGTCTGCACTAGATCACATATCCCAATCAGGCGGTGGAGTTCTCGCACTCGAAACCGGGACTTATCTACTAATTACTAGCTTAATGATAGCTAATGGGACGACACTACGAGGTGCAGGTGTTGGAAAAATCATACTTACTCGAAAAGGTTTGGAGAGTGATTTTTTAAAACTGGGGAGCACAATCAGAAAGCAGAAAAGACACACGAGCGTGAAGCTTACTGATGGATATGTACCAACTGGCACAAACACGGTACGCGTATCTGACGCAAATGGATTGGCAGTTGGTATGCACGTGTTCGTTGAACCGATTGTGACACAGCGTTGAATAAATGACATGGAAAAGTCTGCTCATACAAAAGCAGAGGGATACCCACGGAACTTTAGGTGGCTGAAGGCATGTTCGTTGCTCCTGCAGCAAGACATTTTTAGCTAACCCAATACACATAGCCTGGTCAACTTGTTCAGCAGCCACGGAGAATGCATGCCGTTCACGGCACTGAAATCGTTCTCGATGTGCCTCTAACCGATTCTCTTGATGCATCGAACAGTATCATGACCCCGATCCAGCTCATGCCCTATGAGCCACCTGTATTTGCTTCAGAGATTGGAATTGAAAACCTTAGCATGATCATCAAACCAAAATGCTCAGGAATACCACTCAGTGACACTCGATGCCGTGGTGTGGCCATCCGGGTACCTGTATGAACTATTGACTTATGGGTTCGCAACCTTGATCTCACAGGGTTCAATAACCACATCGACATTGAGAAGTTTGCATCTCGAACTACGGTTACTTGTGTTGTCATGAACCGTGACGGCGTGACGGATCGTGGGGCAGGGTACGCTCTCGACATCGACATTGGAGGCTCACAAGTTTTGATACATAATTGCACGACTAGAGGAGCAAAGAACGCAAAGAGTTACGGAGTGGCAACAAAAACACTGGCAGCTGGTCCAAATGCATGTATTGGCTACACGGCGATGGATCCCATTGAGAGCATTCAACCTCACCAACGATGGGCTCACGGGTTTTTGAATGAGGGAAGTAATGGTCGCGGCATTGCTGTTCAGGAATCGTGGTAGCGGTGGGAGCGGCCATAGGTGGACGATTAATAACGGTGAGCCGGCATAAGACAATTATGGATGAGATGCAAGGTCCGTATCTAACAGGAAACAGGTGTTGGTTGGAATGTTCAAGCTTCCTCGTTGGTGATCTAAAATCCTCTAGGTCAGAACTATTGTTTCGGGTGCACTGGTGTAACGTCAAAGAAGCCTGGGATGGAAACAAATTATACAGGAGTGTTTGGAAGTACTGTAGAGCCTGTTAGCATATTCTAATCTTAACTAAACCATTGTGTATTTCAGTTTAGACTATAGAACGACATCCACTTATCAATAGTACAAGACCATCCAATTCATGCAACAAACATATGGTCTTTTAAGGCAGTGTCATGAAGCAGAGATTTGCAAATATCTATTATCTCCTTAACTGTGATATTTTACTGCAATCTAGAAGTATCAGCGTCTTAGCGACTTTGCGACTTGATCTAAAACATCTAAGAAGCCGCGAATGTCTATAATTTCCTTAAATGAACAATTTACGGATGAAGACGAGAAGCGCAGTTAATGAAGCTGCAAGTTAAATTGCGAGCCCCTAACAAAAGTATTAGAACAGGTGATTCCATAGCATATGATCTGAGCTGAGTGAAATAGTAAATTCAACAAATACATAGATCTATTGAACGCACTTATAGGTGCAAAAGGTGTTACTTGGCTGAAAGAGATGGATGATAAATTGACATTAAATTGAACACAATGAGCTACAAGAGCTTATTGATTATTGCTGTGTATGAAGGATGTACCAAGAGTCGTCATTACGTGCACCACACCGAGAAGCTCACATGGTATGTATCCCCGCGTTGCAAGTGAAATGTTTTAGTAGACCGCCGTCATTCCTTAGCTTAATATCCGATGCTCTCTTATTCAGATTCGAAACACATGTTTCATAACAAGCATGGGGCTCCAGATCCCAACCTTCAATAGTATAGCCGTATGAGGCGGTCGAGTAGCGGGCAGCTCGCCAACCGTAATTGGCGCACAAACTCTCGCAGCGTTGAATGTGCTTCAAATCAAATTCGGAGTGAGAATAGTCGTTCTTCTTCTAGGTCTTTCCATTCACGCTGAACTTGTCGGACAAAAAGGTTTCCGGGTTGTAACAGATTTTGCCAACGCCACAAATGCCAGTGTCCACGCAGTGATCCAGTGTAAGCCAAATAGTGCAGCCATCGTGACGTCCAGCATCTGTATTGCATTGAAAATCGCCACTGACACCAACTTCTTGACCATTAGCTTGAATAAAATTGACGCTGAGAGATTCGGCAACAGCTTTGGTGCCATCATAATCTCAGTCGCATCTACCCCACTCGAAGCGACTTCCTAACGCATTGGGAATAACAATGGCAAGAATTGCGAGCTGGTTTGGTTTCAGGTTAATTAAAAATATTTTTGGCATTTGGAGTTGCTTCGGTTGGTAACAAAAGATTACTGAAGATGTTTGAAGTATAGAGATGATTTGGTAGTGAAGAAAGAGCTGTGTATGTTCTCAGGAGTGTAAGCTGAGTGCCTTACAATTGAAAACGGCTATACCATGCATGACCGGCATAGTACATGCTTACGTGGCTTGCCTTACGAATGTTGTGATCTTCAGTTTGAGTGGAAACACTATTTTGGCTCCAAGGGCTGCTAGGTAGGACTCGATCAGGCCACGGAAAGCTTTATTCCGCAATTGATAGGGCCACCCACAGCACTAAGGTACGAATCCAATACTACGAGACGTGGAAATTTCAGGAAAGGCGCTCACTAAGATTACTCTTAATAGTATTTAAATAGAGTGGACTAAGGCGTAAATTTGATGTTCCGTGAAAAGAATCTTGGAAAGGCCGGTGGAGACACAAAACTACAAGTCCGTGTTGTATCACTGTTTTAGTTTTCACCAATCTTACAAGTTCGTAAAAATCTTGTTATCTACCGCTTTCTTTAGACTGTAGGGCCCCCTGAACATCATGGCCTCGAACGTCGAGAGAACACGCGATGTCTCCTTTCGCTCAATCGGCTCGGCCGCCTTCAAATCCGCTAGGTTCGTTGCATGGATGTAATAGCACGCTATAGCTTCTGAAGCTTGAAAGCAGACTTCGCGGGGGAGATAGCTTTGTCCATATCATCCGACCCGTATTGTGAGGAGTTTAGGGTTGAGCGCGCGTCCGTTAATGACAATTTTGATTTTTCGTTGATTGATGATGTCGATAGGACCAGCGCTGGCCTGATCAAACATAAACTAACCCGGGCCGCTGGTGGCGCCTAAACTGTTTGTGATGCGCACGGGGTGTTTGGCCGTTTCCAACGTTTCTAAATCAGCGGTCATAGTTCACGGCTACATCAGGGTAGTATTAGATTATGATTGTCAAAGAACATACATCGGTGACAGACACAAGTATTAGCAGGCTTGAAAAGGTGCTCAGTGGGATGGAACGCCTGTGGGCTCATCAATATTTGTTAGCCGGCGACTTCGAACGGTCTGCTGCCACACTCATTCTTGCTTGCCAGGCATGTCCCACTCGGCATCTCGAAAACACTTGACAACCCACTTGCGAAATAGGAGCGGAATTTTGGACCCACAGTAGACGGAGTGGGAGTTGGTAGCCGTTACGTGGTAGTGTCGCGAACACCGACTGATGCTACTACTACTAACGCTCCCCTACACTCGGCAACGGATACGGCTACGGCTACGAACCCCACGACAACAGACCCCCCTTGGCACATACTCTATGGCTGCCGCAACACAATATCGCAATCACTTCTTACCGTATCCGTGTGATATCCTAATGGCAAGCGTCATGGTTTCTTTGATGTATCCCGACATGGGCATAGGGTAGGGTATCCAATCCATAACATGTGTGGTTGAATCCCGATGCTCTCTCCTCTGCCTTTTGGCTGCTTAGCTTGTCGTACAATATTAAGTAGGACTGAATCTGTAAGAAAATCGTGGGGACTAATTACCATAGACTGCTACAATGTCCGCTACAGCTACTTGTGCCATCTAGGCTGAGATAGACGACGCGCACAAGGCCCTCCATGGTACCTTTGCGAGCGGTCTCACCAAGAAGATCGAATGGCGCAAGTAGCAACTGAAACAGCTCTGGTGGCTCCTCGATGATAATACGGATTGGATCTTTGATGTACTCGCCGCCGACCTCAACCGTCACCGGCTCGGCAGCGGAGACGGGTTATATCCCCTCCTAGTACTGCAACCATATCTTCTTTGCTAGATCGAGTAAGGTATCTCGCATTGTTGCCGGAGTCGCAGCGAAGAATCTCACGCCCGTTGTCCTCGAGCTTGGGGGCAGGGCCCTCTATCGTGACCAAGTCGGCCAGCGCAGATTCTGTAACACGCCGCATTGCCGCAGCCAAATTCATGAACGCTGGACAGATATGCCTCGGCGTAAACCACGTCTTTGTGTAACCAGAGGTGGAAGAGGTCTGTCTAAAAAGAGTGATGCAACATTGCTCCCAGTTTATACGCGGCCAGGGAAGAGCCACATGTGCCGCATCGTCAACGAACATAAACTTGAGCGCTTGCAAAGACTTTTGGGGGCGCACGCGCAGAACTGTGATTTATGGTGGGGAGACAGATGCAAAGACAATGTTCTTCCACACCACCGTCATCCGAGAAGTGCAGCTAGATAACTCGCTACGTACTCTCGAAAGAGCTGTTCGGATCCGTTCTGCCAGTGGTCTCAGTAACGTGGGAGCAGGCGCCGTGCGCCATCAACGGGATGGGGACTCTACTAGCATATGGGGACTCTACTAGCATTCTACCTTTTTATTCGGAACAGCGTGGTAGTAAAGGAGATATTGAACGAAACCTTATCTGGGGGCGTGACGGAGAACAATGTCTTCTTCCACGCCGCGATTGAGGATGCACCGTTCGGAGGCGTGGTCAAGTTCTTAATACGGTCCATACTGTGGGCCGCACGGAGTGAACTGCTTCTTAAATAAGAGGGTGTTCGTAGAGCCACCCCAGTAGATGGACATGCTTATAGGCCTCACCTATGTACCCTACAGCTTAGAGTATGTGAGCAAGCTGGCCATCAAGAATTCTCTTGGGATCAAGAGGTGAGAGACGATTGACGACCAAAAATTGGCGGTTTTAGCAGTTGACTGTTCGTGTTTAATTTCGCCACTATCATCGGCGCCGTCGTGTTCGATACCGGTATCTCTCTCACAGTCGAAGGGAATGCTATGTTAATATTCCAAATAGCACTAGAATGTATCGATACGAGATTTCCATTCATCAATCTCATGTAATACAACTGATTGAGGTTTGTGAAGATATGAGGATATCGATGTGGCGAAAGACATATTTTAACAATGTCAACATGCAGGTTTGCTCGCCACAGAGGCAAATCCACCCTGTTGTCCTATATGCCAAGATCGCACTTTAGGTTAACCGTTCCATCTGTGATTTGCAGCAAAGATCAAGGGAAAACGAAAGTCGCACCTAAGACCTTGGCTTCTCGTATCTCTAAAAACGATGTGTTGAAGATTATGGGGCCATTCAGTTTTTGGATGAGCAGCAGCATAGTAGGAAATATTTCTTTCGTATTGTTGCTGTGCCGGAACACGGGCTTGTTGTAGCGTGCCCATAGGTTCTGCCACACAGCTGTGGGGTATTAATCAACTAAATCAGCGAGCTAGGCTGAGTAATAAGGGCTGTAAAGACTGAAGTTGGGTTCATGCTTCCATCTCCATGGAAGCATCGGTCGTCATTTGTGCGATAGATATTCGTCGCGAGGCCGCGGTATATACCCATGTTGTCATGATTGTCGTAATTAGGTATAATATGCTAGCTAGCCGGGTTGATAGGGTTGAGTTATCGCCGACCACCTCAGTCTCCAAACCCAGGAAAGGACTTGTTTTAAGCACCTTGTCAATGGTTTACTCATGTATCGATAATAATTTCGCCACCAGGATCAGTATTGCACTTCTTCCCGATTATGAGGGACATCACAGAGATACCATAGGCTTTGAGTGCAGCTACACTCTCAATAAAGCGCTACTTTATGGATATACTGGGCTTGTCAGTACCCTTGGTCTTGACCGACCTGGCTGCAATTTTGGCCGCGCTTTCGGGTACGTTGTGCACCAACAGCGGGTCCTTGAAGATTCTACAGATGAGGATGCTTCGTGCCTCTCTAGGAATTGAATATATATGTGCCATATCAAATGAATAGGCAGTCTAGTGATGCCAATACAGACTATCTATCTAGGTTCAGAGTAACCTCAGCGACCGCAGACAAAGAATTGTTTCCAGCAAAGGCGGGTGCTAATTCTTTTACGGGACACTCTCCATACTAATCTACAGAAGTCTAGTGGCAGACATGTATAGCTCTGTCGACCGGGATCTTCAGGCATGGGACATTGAACATTGGTTACCGATCCAATTGCGCAGCTTGCCACATAGTTCATGGCATCACACTTGTCGAATTCATTCAACTGTGTCAATCAATTTTGACAGACAAAGCTTAAAATAAAACATATGACAAAACACAGAAACCTTGAATTTATTCCTAGCCTTGTAGTAGGTTTACGTCGTTGCATAGTGTCTTCATATCGACCTCGTCACGTACACTGACGTTGCTCATGAGATTGCTGGATGACGAAAACCCGTGATCCGCATTTGGCATGTAGTACGTCCTGTTAAACTCTCATTTTATTTCCATCTGTGAGCACCCCTTCCCAAGACATGAAAACTGGCGCCCGTTGTAACTAATCTCAAAGTCGTATTATCGCAATGTTGCGAGTGTCTCTATGTAGTGCAGCGCGCTCTTTTGCTACACCGCTGTAATGCGCCCATTACTGGGTTTTGGTACTACGAGGTGCAGTAGCTATTGGAAAGAGTCCGCTGTATGAATAGATCCTTCTGGTACATTAAGTTGTTCATTCTAGGCGTTGGGCTCACCCAGGTCAACTCGCCAATAAGCGTGGTCATATCAGCTGCTTGTCTTGAAGTCTTGAATTAGTACATCTTCTTCTTCCTATAGATACTTACACACTATACTTGTCCTACTAGCGATGCCTGGTTGAAGAAACAAAGCGGAGAACTCTTTTGCTAATGCTATGCTGGCCTTATGCTGGGAGTTCGTTGCATCTTTACTACTGACTCATGCGTTGCAGCAACAAGCTGAGAGAACTAGCTAGCTCTCGTTGCATACAGCGTGATATGGGGTTTTATGTAATATCTACACTATTTCGAATATACGGAGGCATGCATAGTGATTCTGATCATAGCAGACGAACCATCGCCTAACTTCCCAAAAAAAGATCTGTTAGGACCACTAGTCGCGGAATAGTTAACGCTGGAACCTAACGACCAACACTAAAAGGTTCAAGCACACCGTCGCGCGAGAAGCTACTGTTGCTTTCTCCGAGATAGGGACCAGCTACAGCAATTGCTGGCCCAGTTGAGAAGTCTAAAAAAGCATAAGTCCACCAATCACCGAGGTGCAACATCATTCATTTTCCTCCAGCTCTTGATGGGAACCGACTCAGCAGGTGCCCGTCTAGCCTTGAGCCCGCTTCTCTGCTTGTCCTACACTAGTTCGGTCTCATGGACAAAACACCTCAAGGGAATCTATTCCTTCCCGAGGTTATAATGGTGTCGCTTTGGGCCTCTTTTAAAACGTCCAAATGAATGAACACATACAAATAGAAAGACTACCTTGCCGTACCGGCTTTGCGACAAAAGGTACGAAGATTTCTCAGCCACGCGTCTCTCATCAATTACAAAACCCCACTGGGCTCTGAAATTTCTTGAATCGTTCCTTGAAAGAATTTGGGGTCGTCATCGTTTTCGGAGAGAGCCTGATTTTCGCCAATGATGTTGAAATAGAGCGCCAATACCAGCTAACTTTACTCATGTTTCAGATGAGAAATGCATTGAAGGCAACCACTACGAGAAGTAATATAGCGGACTTTAGACCAACAAAATCATGAAAGCATAGATAGAAGAAACAGTATCACCGTCGATATAGACAAGTCCAACATCAAGGATGAACTTGATTGTATGCGATCTGTTCACTAGGTGCAGTGTAAAACCTTTGTTGCCAATGCCACGACGGAGGTGTTTGAACGGCATCTTGTTCGAGCCCGCGACGAACCATTTTCATTGCTTGGGATTGTGAAGATGACGGATCAAGAGGTGGGAGGTGTCGCCTCAGAACAGCCGGTGACACAGAAAGCAAGACTCTACGATCGGGCCGTGTTCAGATATCAGGAGAAGGCTGTCACAATTCCCATCAATCAATCTGTTCACAGTTAGTACACGGTATTGAGTCATTGTAGCTACGATGTCTACTTAATGGGGCTAATTTTATAGGACCGATGAAATCTAGTCAAGAATTATAGACGCGACCCACCCATTTCCGACTTTAACGGTGTTTCCAGTTCTGTTCTTCATACGGAATTTTCCTCATTAGGTTTAGTGGCTAGGAATTAGAGACAGAGGTAAATAGGCCCGAAGCCATTTGGGCTAGCTAAACGCAGGTAGCACGGCATTATACCTTAGGTAGCAAGACGGTACGCCAGTCTCTAGGCTAAACACATCTACCAGGCAGTCCTCATGGCGCTGCTCGCGGTGGCGAATGAAACTACCGATACGGATATGATGGCAGTTATGGCCATTCGCCTCTTTGAGGCAGGTGTTAAGCTGCACGACCAAGGGTCTGCAAATTGCCCTCAGTTGGCCTCGTCCATGACTCAAGTACTGATGACGGCTGCCACCAATGTCCCGTTACACTCCCTCTCTCTCCTACCCCGAACAATCTTTTGCGCGCCGTTTAGCTAGTAATCAACGATACTATACCCGGAACGTGGCACACTGGGGAAGCTTCTTTGAAAAGATTGGCGAAAGACCGTGCACGAAATGGGATGTCTTGGCTGTCCCTGCGTCGGTGGTCCTGGCTCCGTTGGTATCCAATCACATCACGATATGCACGTTCAACAACACCCACTCTGGGGAGCACGACGGATGGTGAGGCAGTTTCTATTTTAGGACTATCACCGTTTATTATATCGTGACCACGTAGTAACTTTGGACAAGGTCCACGCCATCGCACCTCTTCTTGTACAAAATGCAATGAATAGCAATTACCAGACCTATACCGCAACCCCCTTGTAGTTGTCACAAATTCTATACAATGATCCTCTAACAATCGTCCATCCATCAAGAGCCGCTGTGCACTTGAGCTGGCAATCATCTACTGCTTGTAGCAAGGGGTGCGATACTGAGCGTTCCAGCCACTAACAGTGCTGTACTTTCCATTAGAGTTGCAGGGGGTGCCGACCTCAAGAGGGTCAGGGTTAGTGGCACCATCGGCGCGGTGGGCGTTGATGCACCAGCGCTGGCAGTCGAGGTTGCCAATCTGGGGATCCTAATCCCAAGTTAGCATTCAACATATAGACTTCACACTGTGCCGTTGCTGGAGGGTTGCTCACCGAGTAAACGCAGCAGTGCGAGCCGTCTTGAAAGAGGCACTGGCACCATTGGGCAGCCTGGGTAGTGATGGCGCTGGCGATCAGCAGAGTGGCGAGAGAGAGAATGCGGACCATTTTGGCGGTTGTTGGAAAGCCTTTAGTAGGTAGTAGAAGAATGTAGAAATGAATGAATTCAGGTGAAGAGTGTTGGGGGTTTACCGTGAGCTGGATGTCTTTTTCAACAGCGGTTGGTGTTCTGATATTTATACATATGTAGGTGAGGTAGTATTTCATCAACTGTCTAGCTGAACACAAAAGAGAGTCATTGAATGACACAACTTACAGTCCACCTCCCTGTACCAGTCGTTAGCGTTTGCGCCTTGCGAGTGTCACATACAACGCTTTCATTTACAAAGTTTGTCTCCGGGATTCTAGAAAACTACTAGCGTTGATAACTAATGCAGGAAAAAAGGCCGAACATGTCAGGCGCGCCGCAAGCCCCTCTAACAATACCAAATAAATTAAATCTCCTTGAGTTATAACTAAAAGGGGTTAGTAATGCCAAATCATGGGCCAGATGTGAAGGACGTAGACCAAAGTATAATGAAAATATCTGAAGGCTACCTTAGTTCTATACAGTAGTGCGACTTTGCTGTTGTTGTGTGAAAACCGATCCAAGCAGAGAAACTTTGATTGAAACTCGTTTAAGATCCTGCAAACATTGATAGATGTCAATGTCTCTTCGTAGAATCTGGAGGTGTCCATGTATGTCTGTGGTCTGTTAAATTCGAGGCGTCGGAAATTTCTAGTGACGTAGTGCTTAGATCGCTCTACATTGTGCGGTCGAGTCAGCCTAGTTAGTACCACTTATCTAAAAAAAACGGGTAATTACGTGTGTCTATGCATTTTACGGATATTTCCTAATCCGCAATCATGACATACCATAGTCACAGGCGAAAGGTCACAGGCGAAAGTATGGTGGGTGAAAAACTATAGCATGTCGATTATAAGTAACAGAAAACAAGGCAACATAGGTCAACCTTACTGGTTCTAACAAACAGGAGTGAACGCACTTCTTTTCCGGTCGCTATTCAAAACACTGTAAATTCACTGACCAACCTCTCTATCCATGATACTTTTCCCTGTGACTATAGTTGATCCTGTTTGTCAATTTCTTCCACTTTCGGTTCATTGCTCGGTCCGATAATCTGTGCGCTGTTTTGAGCTGCTCGGGCTTGGTTTAAGTTTAGAGTATGATGACAAGCGTGGGAATGTGCTTCGTTGCGTTGTTACAGCGATTCATGTCCATGTTGGCTTGTGCGCCCCCTCGCCACTGGAATTGTCGTGACAACATATCTTTTACTCGACTAACTACAAGACTTCACTAGTATTAACAGACTAACATGAGCTTGCCGTCTATATAAAGTTACAAATCCTCTTCAAACCCAACATACTAAGACAGCGTCTCTATTCCTTTTGCAAATACATCAACTTAGCAACTGCAAGTTCTACAAACCTCCTAATCCCACTTAACTACTCATCAACCTCCAACTACAACAAAATGGTTCGACTTTCCATCTTTGCGGTTATCTTCGCAGCCGTCACTTCTGTCGCCGCTGATGGATACTGTCAATGCCTCTTCCCGGATGGCTCACACTGCTGTGTTGTTGTAAGCCAATGATAGCCCCAGCGAAATCAAATGGGATAGGCAAAGGACCAAATCTAATATTTTGCTAGGCATACGGCATCAGGAAATCTTGCGTGGAGAACTGCATAAACAATGGAAACTCAGACAGGATGTGTAATGCTGGTGGCAAGTACTCGGACGTTAGCACGTGGAACGGAGGATGGCGCCGTGGCTGCAAGTACGACTACCTCGCGCCTAATTAATGCAAAGGATCTCCCCATATTGCCTTACGCATCTCAGCCCAAGCTGTCATTTCCTTACATCATGGCAAACATTTTTTTCCAAATCATTCTCGGTTCTTGAGTTTGTTAGGACCTCGCTGGGAAGCTTGCATGTACATAGATCACATTTCATAGGAGTTATCGATACCCAATATAGAGGTATGGCAGTCAATGAAACCACCCTACATACCCTACTCTCCAATTCGCACTATGAGCTAGTCCTGCATAAATCGTGATATCGAGGTCCCGCACAGAATGACGGTAGATGTACAGTTAGCTGTATTGTGTCCTGGCTTGATATTGAAAGCCTCCCTCGATTTTGTTTTTCAGAACAAAATTATACCCTAGGTACCTTGTTGTACACGCATTTTGAAATCTTCTAGCCACCCTTGGTTTGTTCGAGAAGGGACTTAGATTTCCGTATTGGTACAAACAACGAAGAGAAATGAGAAGACTCTTCGTCTGTAAACTACACGATTATGTTAAACCTTGTGCATAAATTTAGGATTATTTGTATCCCTCGAATGTTCATCTTTTAAGTCCTAAAATGTTAATCGCAATAATTAGATGAACATGAGGCCTTCTTATGTGCGCATGTTTAAGGGTTTGGTGGAGGCTACGCTGTCCCCCCAAAGTACTCTCGTGGCGCTCACGCAGGAGGGCTGCATCGTAACCTGCCTTACTTTTGCCATAAGAACGGTCACCGTCTTAGACTGACACTAGTCAGGATCACTTTAGTGGTAGTGGCCGCCTAACCGCACTAGTCCCAGTCGCCCCGTGGTCATGGTGTCACCGTGCGTTCCCCATCTCAAAAGTGTGTATTTGACGCAATGATGCCTGGTGGCTTTAAAATCGCGCTTTAAGATAGATTGTGCATCAGTCCTTGTTTTGTGTAGCGCGTTGTGTCAAACTTGCGTCCTGCGGGCACGGATACCTGCCGTATTCGAGATGTATATAACTATTCCTGTCACTAGTGATCTCGCTTTTTCAAACTGATCTAAGTGCTTAGTAACTCAACCCTAATTAACCCTAGCCGAGTATCTGTCTGACTCTGACTTCACTTCAATCCCCTGTCAAGTAGTCCTGACTTATTTACTATCCTTATCTAAACTTAATTATTGGAAAACATTCGTCATAAAGACGCTCATCGAAACTCTATCGTGGAAACAAGATAAGCGCTTTGTCTAATTAACAGGGCGAGGAGGCTTGCTAAATGAACACAAGCGTCTTTTTACGGACTCCGTGAGCTTCATTACGGCAATTCAATGTGACTTGTGCACGTCCCCTCTTGAAGTGCTTCGTGAATCCGCACAGGTATGTTGTGACTCGTGTTGCATGGTCTTTTAATCTGCTAGACTGTATAAAGATGGTGATTTCTCTGACTGCTCTACAAAAACTCATCAGCACCATCACTTCCCTCATAATCACATAATACCACAATCGACTCCAACGATATCTTCCTCATCAACGTTAACATGGTCCGCGTTCTCACCATTGTTGCTATGCTCTTTGCTGGTGCAAGCAGCGTTGCTGCTTCGTACTGTCAGTGTCTTTACCCAGACGGCAGCCACTGCTGCGTGATTGTAAGTCGTCACGTATCACTTCACACCCAAGCTTAACTTGCTCATACATGTGGTGGTTCTAGAACAATGAGGTCAATGACTGCCAGAGAATGTGTATGAGGGCGTCTCAGGACCATACAACGGCCGGGGAGTGCAAAGCCAACGGAAAATTCTCCAATGTCAGCGGGTGGAACGCCCTGCACCGCACGCAGTGTGAGCCACCCTTCCTCTACTAAATACTGTCATCTACTCGCTCCATCAACAAAGTTCCTACGAGGGCGTTTTCTAAGTGAAACTCTACCAAAGGAAGACATGCAGTAGACCTTTTCAGATTATTAAGGGTAATGTCCCTAAATATGTAGTTCAATAAGGACAAAGAGCGTGATATTGTGTTATCGGACAGCTTTTAGATAGTTAATTAAATATTAGGGGCTTGTTGAGGGCATATCAATAGCCCGTCTAAGGCTCTAGAATCTATGCTATCACTTCGCTTCTTAGAGGCTGTTTTGTAGAATTAGCGCTTAGTATGTTGTATAGAGTAGAGTACTACATGTAGAGGGTTAGGTCCAAGTATTTCTTTTAAAGGTTGAAAAGCGACAAAATGGTACAAGATTTTAAGATTGTTTTTTTTTAACTTTTTTGATATATATAGAAAAGGAAGAAGAAGAAGAAGAAGAAGAAGAAGAAGAAGAAGAAGAAGAAGAAGAAGAAGAAGAGAATTTAAATAGTACTCTATGAGGTTAGGGGCTTCGCTATTAAATGTGCTTAAAAACTTTTCCGTGCGTAGATAATTTTACCTTAGAAGTGCTCTAGTATAATCTTAGAAGAGTAAGTGTAACAGGCTGAACGCCCTTTGGATGAGATCCTCGATGGAATCTCGGTAGACTCGTGAGAACCCAGGTACTGCGCTGAGCACCTAAGCTCCCACCAACTGCCTCAACGACGCTCAGGAGGTACCCGATAGGCTATACCTTTTTAGCCTAATAGTTACTTAGGTAACTACTTATATATAGATAGCTACGTAGCTTAGAAGCTTAGCTCTCTATTAAATACAACCTCTTGTATGCCTCGCGATTGCTCCCCGGAGCGCAGCCCCTTACACTAGCGTACTTTTGATCTATATATGTAGACTACTTTACTATCTTACTAAATAATTATCTTACAAAATACTAGTACAAGGTTTATTGGCTATAGTGGCGGACTTAACTAGTGTCAAGACATTACTTTTCCCATCACGACTCCGGCTACCTTTGGATAGCCTAACCAACTCTAGCCCCTATTAGTTAGCTCTTTCCCTCTCTTACATATATAAGCACTACAAACTCTACCAAGGCTTAGTAGCTATTCGTCTAAGTAAATCTAGACTGTTTACTATAATATCACTCTTGCTACTCTGTACCTGTGTCTAATTACACCTAACCGTTTTATAACTAGAGTAGTATAGATCTAAACCCTGTATAACATCTAAACTCTTAGTGACCTAATTACAACCCAACCCCTACCCATTTGCCAGTCTACTAAGCGGGGAGTTGGATTGGGTGAACTGTTACATGCACTGACCAGCTACAGTAGCGACAGCGCTCATAAGGCGGCGCGCCTACGCGCCGCCAGAGTGGAGTTCAGAGCAATCAATGCGATCAATTTCTCCCATTATTATTATAGCAATCCATCGCAATTGATATAAACGTGTCCTTGATCAAAAAACCCTTCAGTCTGACATTTCTATATGCCTCATGATTTGAGCAACGCCGGATATTTCTCCACCCCCGGCTCATCAAATGTTTCAATCAACGCTGCAACAGCAGGATGCATACCCGCTTCCACTACTGTCTTCACCCACTCATTCATAGGCAAAACGCTATATGGCTTGCCCACCTTGCTCAAACCGATATCCGCCATCTGCGCCATGGGAATCACCACATCACCGACGTTGTTCACGTACGTGATGCCGTTTCGTCCTTGATCTAGTAACTCGCGGATGATATCCTCGCAGCATGTTTCAACAGACACCAGATCAAATGCACCAGCGTTGTAATCAACTCTTGGCACAGTCTGTGTTTTATGTGCAAAGTGAAGGAGTGAGTTTACCCAATCGAATCCCGCGCGTTCAACCGTTGCGTCTTCGCCATCGCGAATAATTGTTGACGGGCGCTAGATAACGATACGCAAACCGTATTTCTTATGTACCCGCTCAAGCATCTTCTCGCAAGTCCATTTTCCACACATATAGCCGTGTGTGCCGTCGACTGGCGGGGTCTTACCCGTCATCGTGCATGAGATTGGCGGAAAAGCGTCCAGCTCGGCGAAGAGGGCCACACCAGCTGACGAGACATAGTGAAGGGGAATCATACGCTGCAGACATGTGGATACGAGTTGTTTTGTAGAGTCGACATTCGCCCGCTTCAATGCCGAGTAATACTTCAGGTGGGAGGTGTCTGAGCCGTTGTGGATGACTGCGTCTGCCTCGCAGAAGACGGAACTCCAGGTAGCAACGTCCAGGCCGAAATAATCGGACTTAAGGTCGCCTTCATAGTAAAAAATGCGTTCATTTAGGGTGGGAAGCTCTCCACTTTGGAGGCGCGAACTAAGGCGTCGGACTGCAAGACATATGATCTTCCGGATCGAAGATTGGGCCACAAGTTTATTGAGAAGATGGTGGCCAAGGAGGCCACTGCAACCAGTGAGGACGACAACTTCTGGGTTCCCATTTGGCTTGGGCGCATCGTGGAGCCCATAAAGAGTAAAAGGCTTAGGCGGGGTAGTCTCAAAGTCCCAGTCCACAATTGCAGGACTACCAGGCTGGGTTTTAATGTCTGTGTCAGGAGTTTCATCGCCCAAAGTGCTGGGTGAAGTGACACGGGTGCTTGATGTATCGACGTGGCTGCTTTCACTGTTCTCGCCATCTGGTGTCGGAGAGGCATGCTGGTCGGCATTGATCTGTTGAACCTGTGGCACGAGTTCTGTGGGGATGCTTTCGGCAGCCAATTCGACCAAGCTAGACATGCGTACATCGTTTGCCATAATCTTGAGGACAGGAATACTAACGCGGAAGTTCTTGAAGAACCATGACCGTACGTCGACAGAAAGCAGAGAATCGAAACCGAGATCTACACCTCGCATCATCATCAGGTCATCATCAACGGTGGAAACCTGGAGCATCTTGCGCAGCTGGGCACAATATGCTTGCTTGATAACATTTATAACATCAGCCTGGGAGCGGCACGCCTGCAGGAGATCCTGGGTAGATGCAGAGTTTGTCGCCTCTGATTTGCCACCATTACCTCCAAATCTGTAGATGCGGAAACGAGCAAACTTTGGATCGGAGTACCATGGGGGGATGTCGATGGTTTCTGGAGTGATCGAGAGTAGACCAGTCGATATTTCTGGGCCACTGGGATCGTCTAGATGGCCTGCCTCCATGCACTCGGCGAAGATTTGATGGAAATCCTGCTCCGACAAATGCATCATAGCTGTTTTCGCTACCGTTACATCGAGCTGGCGGTCAGACTGTGTAATGTAACCAACACCGATGATGGCACCGACATTGGCAACAGAAGAGCGAAGGCCACGCTTGCGCCGGTTACCTGCAACACCGATCATGCCCATATTGGCCGCGGCGTAATTAGCCTGACCAACGTTTCCAATAACACAGTTTATTGAAGACAAGAGTACGAAGAAGTCGAGATCGACATTGTAAAAGATGCGATCGAGGTGGATACTGCCAAGCACCTTTGGTCTGATAACGTCAGTGACTTGGTCAAACTCCATGTTGCGGACCGACACGTCTCTCAGAACCATGGCACCATTCAAGAGCCCGACAATGGGAGGAAGCGTCTTCACAATTTCTGTATGGACATTAATGATGGCCTTCTCATCTGTTACATCACTGTGAATAATCTGTTAGCGAGACATGATTCACTGAATGGAAAAGGAGGCAGAAAACATACCACAGGAGGATCTTGATGACAACACCATTTTGTTCGTGGTTCTGAATCCAGCGCGGATCGATCTTTGGATTTCGGCTGGTCAGAACAAGATAGCGTACGCCTCTCTCAATCATCCAGTCGCACAGGGAGATGCCCAGCGCGCCAGACAACCCGACGAGCCAGTACGTCTTGTCAGACTTGAAAAGCTGGTTGGACTCGAATCGGTTGACACGTGCAGGAACTTTCGTGAATGACCCTGTCCATTCAATAATTGCAAGAGCATCTACGTGCTGTTCTCTTCTAGCAAGCGCCTCGAGACCCAGTGGTGTAGTTAAAGCTAACACGTCGCGTCCTTTAGCCATACTGAGAGCCCTGGAAAGAAGTTGTCCCACCAAATATTTGGGGGCACCAGTGTCTACTCCTTGTAGCGACAAGATGGAACCCATATTCTCCTTACGGCAGTAGGCGGGAAGACATGAAGTAATCATTGCCACGTTCTCAGCTTGATTCGAGGCCGACAAGTCGACAAAGCACACCAGGTCAGAAGGTAAGACGGCCTCAATATCCGAACGTGCGGAGAACTTGTGTATCTGGGTCTGCGAGGCGATAGCTGGAGACACGGCCGCACCCAAGGAATCTACTGTGAGGGTTACTGCCACGCTCTTGGATGAAGCATGGGCGAGAAGGGGTCCAATGATAGACTCGGAAGCATTGTGCACGACTAGCTTTTGACCAGCGAAGAGAGGATCAATAACAGCCATGGCAATGAGCTCGGCTGCTATCAGTGCAACGTAATCTGCTTCCGGGATGCTATGTCGTTCGCACACAATGGTTGACTCGAGTGGAGTGCAAAGTATAGAAGTCAAGGAACTGGTCAAAGCGAGACGTAGAGCCCCGGACTTGTCGTATCCAAGAGCAAGATAATAGTAGCCCGTTGGACACCTGATTGCGGATGCGGTGGAGTGCGTGAGACGCAGTTCTACAAGCTCGCGCCTGGTAGACGTTGTCTCTGCAAACTCGTATCGCGACAACTGCCGGAAGTATGGCCCATCTTTGCCGTACTCCAAGCTAATGACGTTCTTGCTAACATCAACCTGATCGAAGATGGGTCGCGTAGTAGAGTTCAGACGGTTGTTGGCGTCTTCAATGGTGAACAGGCGCGGGACCAGCTCTTTTCCATGAGCGTCAATGATGATTTCTGGCTCTTTAGTGTATAGGATATCTTTATCATCCAAACGGGTTGAAGTAAAGCGAACAAGATATTCTGCAACCTTTTCAGCGTCGAATTCACCAACGTTCGCCACGTCTATATATTGGACGCGAAGAGTTTCTTCCTCATGCATAGCAGATCGACCGAAGCCGACTGTCATATTGCAGTACGGCTCATCTTCTAGGCGGCCGCTCGTGAGCCACAGAATGTCTCGCTTTGTTTCAAACAGCTTCCTGAACTTGGACCATCTCTGTGGTGTAATGTCTTTGAAGATTGGAGCCTCCAGGTCCACGAGACTGACAATGACTGACTCGTTGTCGAGGACGTTTTCATCCAGATCTTCCAGAGAGGCGTAAGCCACAATCTGCTTGGCCACCGGTTTCAATACCGCTTGGATACCCTGAGAAAGCTTGGAGATAGGTGATGTGCGTCCTCCAACGACGACGACCGCGTCGTACACCGCGTCTTTGGCATTGGCAAAGGGATCGCGGGCGAATTCAATGCGCTCATCCACAGCAGTAGATACAAAGAGCGTGATACCGAAAGCATCAAAAAGTTCCGGCGGCGACATAGTGTCGATTCCTGAGAACCCCGAACCCTTAAGAATAGCATTCCACTCGGAAGCATTCACCAAGGGCGAAAGTGTGCGCCCCTCTTCAACGCCACGCCACCAGCCCGGCAGAGTTCCGAAAATGAAACCCGCACCAGCTTGCATTGCGCCGTCGCTGGCCCCCTCTCCAAGTACTAGCAAACCGCCAGGCTTGAGCAACTTACGCAGGTTGGCAACAGCCTCGTCTAGTTTCGCGCATGCGTGGACAACCATGAACGCGATGACGACATCATAGGTGCCAGCTACGAAACCTTGCTGAACGGGATCAACTTCAGCATTGCATACCTTGAAGACCATACTGTCCTGCCAATCTGCAAAAGTCTCGGCTGCGTTTTCAAAGAAACTAGACGAAATGTCGGTGAAAGTGTAACTGGCAAAGTCATGACCAATGGACTGAAGGATCGTCTTGGTAGCACCACCGGTTCCAGCTCCGATCTCGAGCATATTTAGATGCGGGTTGCGGCTTGTCAGTTGCTTAAGAATACTAGCAACCCACAGAGTAGATTGCTTCGTGCCGAACCCATTGGAGTAGTACTCGTCGAGCAGACCTGAGGTTCGGAAGTGTTCGAGCATGGTCGTCTCGCCCTTGAAGACGCGGGGCATAATGGTTCCAACCAACAACATGATCTTAACATCCGAGTTATCCATAAAGCCCTTAGCCACGATATCATCAAGGACATCCTGCTCTGTATCATTCAACCACTCTAAGTGCGCCCACCTATGTTGCCCAGTCTTGAGAAGATTTGTCATGTGTCGCGCATAATTCATGTAGTGACACAGAGGGCTTGTTGTCCTTGCAGGGTCGTCTTCGGGAAGCTGCTCCTCGAAATTTCGCAGATAATAAGCTGCGATGCGACTCAGAACGAACATGAGATCATGATCCTGTTTGCCTAAGGGGACACCAGCTGCAGCAAGCGTTCCATCGGGCGCACTAGGTACCCAATGCATCTTGTAAAACACATCGCGGTCATTGCTAGCGTCTGAACCAACGGGTTTAAATTTGACCTGGTCGACCTGGATGGCGGCGTGGTCGAAACCAGGAACGTACATGTTCACGTTGCCCGAAAATCCCTCTCCAGGCTCAGCCCGATCCGCTGTAGTGCACGTAGAATCTATCACCGTAATTTCGTTTTCGGTGTATTGCTGAGACGCGAGAACGCTGGGGTTGACGCGCAGCTTCGCTATGCTCGTTGGCAGGTGCAACAAACGTAATTGGTCGTCGCCTGGATAACTGTAGGCTAGCATAACGGACTGGAACGCAGCATCCAAGTCAATAGGATGCATGAGAAGCCCATCTGCATCGGGAACCAACGATTTTGCCTTTTGAGCTAGACATGTCGCGTGCCCTAACTTTCGCTCGAGCTTGACCAGAGACTGGAACGCACCTGAGAAGTCGTACTCTAGACTCTTCATGAAATTGTATAAGCGGCTTGGATGCACTGGAATCATGTGAGGCGGCGGTATCTGGCGCTTCGGGAAGAGCGATAGATCCGGCGTCTCGTCGACCAGGAAAACTTTAAGTTCTCCATTGGCTGCAAGAGCGAGATCATTTATCTCGTCTCCCAGCGCAGCAGAATAGGTGAAGTTGGCATGAACTTGGTTTCCTTGAATAGAAATGTTGGAAAGCTCAATGTGCACTTCGATCCCGACATCATTCTGGTCGAAAGTGATGGCGTTGTGGATGTGAAAGTTCCTCAGTTCGATGAGCTGTATGTGCTTGTCTCTAGCGAGAGATTGTGCAGCCTCGATGGCTGTAGAAACGTAGGAAGCAGCTGGTAACACAACCTGATTCTGCACTTGATGTCCCTCCAGCCAGGTCATCTCTCTTGGCTTCAGTACGTTCTTCCAACGCAGGATATGTGGAGCGCTGTCTGGAGACACGTCACCAAGAAGCTGATGGAATGGCTGGGCACACAAGCGCATATGACGCGACTTCCTGCATTCAGCCCAGTAAGCAGACTCGTGCTTCCATTGATAGCTGGGCAGATTGCCGAGGACGGTGGACTTTTGCTTGCCGCCAGAGAGGGCGGCCTCGCAATTACCAAGGTCAAGGGATCCGGTGTCAAGACGAGTCCAAAGAAAGCCAAGGCAGGCTGAAAAGGCAGTGACGGCACTGCTCCCGCGAACAAGTGTCCCATGGTGAGGAATGTCTTTTTGAAGAACCTCTTGAATATTTTGCTTGGTCGGTCCGGCTAGAGAGGCATGCGGACCAACCTCGAGCACTAGAGTGTGAGGTTCAGCATCTTGGGCCACCTCAACAGCCGCCTGGACAGCCTGGGAGAACAGTACAGGCTTTGTCATGTTCTGCGCCCAGTAAACATCGCTAATCTCGTCAGTAGATGGGTTAATAGATCGGCCCCCGTAGACGCTAGAGAACCAGGTACATTCCCCATTACTCAGCACTGCCTTCACACCCGCGCGTCGTAGCGAAGCTATATAGGGATCAAAACAAGGCAACATGTGACTTGAATGATAAGCCGTATCAACCTTGAGACGTCGGTTGAACTTCTTTTCGTCTTCCAGAACTGCCGCGACCTCATTGATCGCATCCTCGTCACCGGAGAGAGTCACACTCGACGACGAATTGCTAGCTGCCACGCCTATGCGTCCTAAGAGCTCCTCATTCTGGCGTAACTCTGTAGCATCTTCCATCGAAGTGCCAGCAGCAAGCATGGCACCTTTGATATTGTTCCCGTTCGGACTGGTGGCGAGTTTGCAATGAAGCCCTCTGAAGTAGGAAACAAGAATGGCATCGCGTGCGCTGAGGTATCCCGCTGCGTATGCAGCTGCTATCTCGCCACTAGAGTGGCCGACAACAGTGTCAAACTTAACATTAGCCGACCGCAGGAGATCGACCAAGATAATCTGTATTGCTGTGCAAAGCGGCTGTGAAATAGCCGCTTCTCCAACTCGAGAGACGGACGCGTCAGCAAGCAATTCAGTCGTGAGAGACCAGCTTGGACGGTCGCCTTCTGAGAGTTCAGAAAGATAACCTTCCAGCTTCTCTAGTATCTGTCGCGCGAGAACCATTTGAGTGACCAGCTCTGCACCCATCCGAGCGTATTGCGCTCCCTGACCAGTGAAGACTCCCAAAACCTTGGAGCGTCCACCATTGCCCGCCGCCCACGTGCGCACGCCAAGACTCTCACTCCCAGACTCGGCCAAGCGGGTTGTAATGCTTAGTTTGAGGCTCTCCACAGTCGTGTCTGAAAAGGCAATACGGAAAGGAAGCACAGATCTACGCTCGCGTAATGTGTACGCGAGATCGCGTGTGTTAGTCTGGGGATTGGCATCCAAATAGGTCGCATAGGCAGCAAGGTTAGAACGAAGAGACTCTGTTGAGGCAGCTGAGAAAACAAACGGTGTTGACACCGTAACTGCACTGGAAGCCTCCTCCACCAGCTCTTGTGACTGTAGCTCATAACTTTCCACAATGGCATGTGCGTTGGTACCCCCAAAACCGAAGTTGTTGATACTAGCGCGTTTAGGGCGTCGGCCAAATGGCTTTGGCCAAATGAGAGCATGGGTAGGAATCTGGAGATTGCCATAGAATGGCTTCAACTTGGGATTGATTTGTTGGAACCAAAGGTTAGGCGGCACGGTAGAATTTTGCATGGCTTGCGTGACCTTCAACAGTGCTGCAAGACCAGCTGAACCTTCTGTATGTCCAAGTACAGTCTTTATGGAGCCAGTGTAGATTGGAGTGGTCATCTTCGCTCCTTCACCGAAGAATGCGGTGCTGAGAGCTTCGGCTTCTATTGGGTCTAAGAACACGATTGGGTTAGCAAACGTGTTGTAAAGAAACAATACAAACTGAAGAGCTCACCTCCAGCTGGTGTTCCAGTACCGTGTGCTTCAATGTACTGAGGACGATCCTCCGCAGATTCAGGATCGAGACCAGCTTTCCTGTAAACGCTACGTATTAGATCCCGCTGTGCACTGGCGCTAGGCATTGTTATTCCAGGCGTTGCTCCATCCGAGTTCATACCCGTCTCTCGGATAACAACTTCGATTCTGTTGTTGTCTGCAAGGGCCTGGCTAAGCGTTTTGAGGACGACGGCAGTTACACCTTCACCGCGCGCATAGCCATTCGCATCCTTGTCCCACATCCGACTCAGGCTATCGGGTGAAAGCATTTTCAGCTTGCTTTCGATTACATACATTTCGGGGCCGAAGATAAGATTGGAACCGCATGCCACCGCTGCGTGGCTGTCCCCTGACCGAAGTGCCTGGACAGCATGATGGACAGCAACTAGACTTGACGAACAAGCCGTGTCGATGGTGACAGATGGACCATGCCAATCAAAGAAGTATGACACACGGTTTGACATGACTGCGCGAGATGTTCCTGTGGCGAAATGTGTAGGCACCTGATCCAGATCCCTAAGCATCCTGGCCTCATAGTCGCCGCACATGAGGCCAGCAAAGACAGCAGTGTCACTTCCTCGCAGTCGGTCAATACTCAGTCCGGCCGATTCAATCGACTCGTATACCACTTCAAGAAGCAGCCTCTGTTGTGGATCCATTGCTTTGGCCTCGACAGGATTAATACCAAAGAACTCAGCGTCAAAGAGGCGCGTGTCCTCTTCTAACAGATAGGACTGCAGAACATTCATATGACCGTGATGTGAGCCATCGGGGTGGTAGAAGCCATTAGCATTGAACCGCTTATCGGTTATGTTGCTGCGTATGTCTTTGGGATTGCGGAGGAGATCCCATAGTTTGGAAGGGGAATTCGCTCCACCTGCAAATCGGCAGGCGCTACCGACGATAGCTATAGGCTCGTTGGTGGGAGCCTTTGCTAACATGGGGGATGTCTTGGACAAGGAAGTAACGGGTGCCGAAAATTGTAATGAGAGACAACAGCAGAGTTGAAGTTGCTCAAATGATGGAGTTGAGTGTGCTAACGCTCAGGACGTCGATGAAGCGCATACTGCATTGGATTCTGGCACTGCATATGTAGTCGTATCAAGGAGAAGTAATTCACCTGATTTTTCTGTAGATTCGGAAAATGTCCCGGTCGCTAGTTTCTTGTGGACATAGTAGGTGCGAGTGTCGTCGTACTACTTACTCGGCGTCAAGGAAGGGTGCAGCTCTACTCTGGTTCACCAAGAGCCTCACTCATGACATACCTGTATGCAGCAGGGATCAGGCTGCAATCCATAAGAACCAGCCCCGTCCGGCTGCAAGATTATCGTTTCGTTGGATGAGATCCATGTACGGTGTCAACTTCTTATTTCAGAAGGTCTAGCCGACCCCGATAGTGCGCAATCGGTGTCGATAGCGTATGTAAAACTAGACAATCTCTGATACAAGTTGTCACGCGATAAGATGAGCTCTGCTTACGAATGCTTTCAGGTCCGAGGTCCGACTGCATTTGAAACGCAATCGGCTCTACCGACTTAGCCGTAGATTGTGTTGGTATGAAATTCGCTCCTTTCGTCCGGCTCATCTACAAAATACCAACTCCTCTTTTTTGGTATCCCATATTCACCATCCAAGTAATGGGTCTCTTCGAGGTCAGCATCATGCACGGCCTTGAGAAAATAGCAACGACGGTGTCTGATTTGGACTGGCGCTTCATTGCATCTACCACAACAGTACTTGTATGTAACATCAAATGCATCAACTAAATACCCAGCTAACCAGCCATTCAAGCTTGTGGGCTACATTTTCCTCTTCCGCCCCCTACAGAACATCCTTTTCCATTCACTCAAGAAGTATCCCGGCCCCAAACTCTTTGCCATATCCTCGATTCCATATGGATTCTGGTATATGACAGGCAAATGGCATAACAAAATACGCCAGTTGCACGCCACGTATGGGCCAATCGTCCGCATTGGGCCAAACGAATTGTCGTATGCCTGCCCCGAGGCATGGGAGGATATATATGATCGTTACGTGCCGGCTAAGCGCAAAGAGAATCCCAAGCCAACGTGGTACTGCAGTCCGGATGCTCACGAAATGGTTGGTGCCAACTTGGGTGATCATGGTCGCATGCGTCGCGTCATGGCACCAGGCTTCACCTATAGCGCCATGTGCAAGCAAGAGCCTCTGATCAAGACACATGTAGACTTATTTCTCAGCAAGCTGCATGACATCTGCGGTCGAGGAAAAGCGACAATTAACATGCTCGAATGGTTTACTTACTGCACCTTCGACCTCATCGGGGACTTGTCGTTTGGCGAGCCCTTCGGATGCATGGAAAACTCCATGTTGCACCCGTGGCTGCAGCTTGTTTTTGCAAACATTTACGTCACGCATATAATCTTGCTTTGCAAGCGTATTCCCTTCTTCTATCTCTTTCTTCCTATCAAAACGACACTACAGTTATACCGCGATTTCAACAGACATGTCCTCCTCTTGCGCCAAGTCGTCGAGCGCAGATTGGCACTGACAACACCACGCAATGACTTTATGGAAATCCTGTCGTCAAAGCCGAGTAGCACTCTTTACCTTACCAACGAAGAGATATTCAAAAATGCTATACTGCTCACCGGTGGCGGCGCAGAGACCACTTCCAGTGTCCTCACAGGCATGGCGTTCATCCTGACAACCAGGCCTGACGTCAAACAACGTATCGTCGAAGAACTACGTAAAACTTTCCCAACCGAAGAAGACATCAACATGCGAAGCGTGGCGCAGCTGACGTATACGGGTGCGTTCATCGAAGAAGCGATGAGGTACTACCCTCCTGGCCCAAACACGATGTGGCGCACCACTCCCGCTGGTGGCAATACGATCCTTGGTGATTACATTCCTGCAAATGTAAGGATTCTTTCCTGATTGTTAGATGTTTCCAAGAAGCATATCTGACTTGTGGTCCATGTGACTTATACAGACTATTGTCGGAATTCCACATCGCGTCTTGTACCGTAGCGAGGCATACTGGAAGCACGCAGATGAGTTTCATCCCGAACGCTGGCTACCCGATGGCCAGCGTCCCGCCGAGTTTGACCAGGACCGTCGTGAGGGGTTTCACCCCTTTTCCTATGGCCCACATGCCTGCATCGCCATGAAGTAAGTCGAGCTTGTCTGTCCTATCCTGATAACTAGAAAAAGGTGTACTAAATTAAGTCCAGTTTTGCATATGCTGAGATGCGTTATATCCTTGCTCGATTCTTGTGGAACTTTGATATCCAAGGCACAGAGAAGAGCAAAGGTTGGATGGACAATCAGAAGGCGTATTTGGTGTGGGACAAACCGGGTTTGTTCGTGCACTTGAAACCAATTGTGAAGGAAGGCGTGGGGGAATGACCATATGTATGTGGTTATGACAATTGTGTAACTAGACTAGCATACCAGTATACATGGGTAAGTTTCGTTAGCTCAATCCATCAGCCAATCAGATCTAGAATAAAATCATCCGCACGAGGAAGACGTTGATAATTTTCATTACTATACAATAGAACTAGAAGGATTACTAAGAGCAGATCAATAAGCGCCGTAGAATGGGAACAAGGATAAGAGCAAGGATAAAAGCACAGATTTCTACTAGCGTGCGCTTAGCTCTTAATATCTCTCTAATGAAAACAGTCAAATACGAGCATTACTTAGGGAGAACTTATGATTGGTGGATAAGAATACCTCTACAGACAAGAATAGAACTAACATAATATACCCATGTATACCAGTATCATCCTTTATCAACCACGAGCCGTAAGCATTTGATTTCAACATCTTTGCTCAGTCTGTTCTTTGCGGTAGCCATTGGCGTGATTGCTGAAAATAGAAAAGCTTATAATCGCATTGGCACTCTGACATAGCATTTCTCCTGTATTGTGATTTTATTGCGTTTTTTCCTTTTCTTCACCTAGCAGTCAAGATGCTTCTTGTTATAGAAAAAGACGCACGCATGCGTGGATCAATATACTATTAACCACATCAGATAAGTCTCGCGGGACAAATCTCGTCAGATCAGATAGTGCCGAATTTTTTTGGTATCCCCAACTTGGTTCAGCGTTTCTACGAAGAAACAGTCACTACTAACTTTCTGCCCTTGACATTCCCGTCCCGTAACATTTCCAATGCTTTTATGACGGCTTCAAATCGGCCTTTGATTTCCTGTATCGGCTGGGTCTTGATGCGTCCGGCATTTAGCAATGGCTGTAACTCAGCAGCCCATTGGGCAGCAACAGCATGCAAGGCTGGGTTCGCCTTGCGCGAGTAGACAGGATGATCGAGATTGACGTCGAAATTCTGACCCTCAAAGCCCATGACGACCTTGACGGCGACTGATCGGCGAGTAAGCCAGGCATCGGGAACCGCCTCAAGGCAAGCATAGCGGGCGCCGATGCGTGCGAGGGAGGCTAGACATACAGCCGTAGACTCTGGATCGGTAATGCAGTCAATGGCATACTTGATACCCTGCCCATCTGCAATTGCCTTAATGTCCTGGGCGCAAGTTGGCGAGGTGTAGGACGCCGTGCCGATGGCACCAAGACTGATACAGAAAGATGCAGACTGGGGCGAGCAAACTGCAATGGGTGCGTAACCTGATCTGTTTGGGCTAGAAGTCAGCATGGGTTCTTGCTATTCGGGATGGGACAGTTGCAATGGGAGCGAATGTAACATTGGAATCAATGAAGCATGCAACTCACCGCTTCAACATTTGAATTGCCATGATGCCAGTCGCAGTAGCACCGCCATAGACCAAGACAGGGAGATGCCTTGCATCTGGTTTTGAGGGCAGTCCGGGCAGGTTTAAGGCGGTAGGGTCAGACATGGCCAAAGCAGCCGTGCCCCAGCCAATAGCACCTATGGCAGCGGCCTGCAGGTCCGAGACAGAGTCTGGGATGCGCAATAGATGGCGGGCGTCGGCTATGGCGTACTCTGCAAAGGCGCCATTGTAGGGATTGCTGGGTCGGTAGGGGAAGTCAGCGCCGCAGACGCGGAGACCCAGACCCAGTGCCGACTCGGGACCAACTTGGACGATGACACCACAGAAGTCACACCCGGCGGTGTTGTCCTGCATGAAGAAGTGGGTCACCATCTTGTAGTCGGTTGGATTGAGACCGACTGCCAGCACACGTACACGCACATGGTGGGGTGAGGGCAAAGGCGGCAAAGGACGACGACCGTGGGCGACAATGAGTGGGAGACGGTTGGGAGCGGAAGGTATACTGGATTGGATGACGGCCGTCTGGCCGTCTGTGGGGAGCATCATGGGCGATAGAGAGGTCTCAGTGCAGTGCAGTGTACATGGCGTCGGGCAGATTGGAGCATGCAGGCAAATAATGTATCCACGGCTCGTTTGGGGTTGTGGTTTGCCTGTCTAGGAAACCGAAAGCGAATGCTGAAGAGCGTGCGGGCATAAGGCGTGAGGGCAAGATAAGTAGGGTAGCAGAAGGAGTAGTTTGGTAAGTGCCCCGTTCTAGGACATTCCTCAATAGTTACTTTACCATTTGTATTGCCTTTTTCGACCATGCAGCTGCAGTTGGCACACGGGGCAACGGCGGCGGCAGCAGGCGTAACTGCACACGTCGGCTACTTCAACAGAGGAGAGCACCATAGTAGCGGAGCGCGATGGCTGGCTGGCGGTGCGGCGGCGGTGGGCACTACAGCCGTGTTGCGGCGATATGGAGCGACGGCGTGGGATGCTATGACGATGATAACGACGACGACGACGTCAAGCACGATGGAGAGCTCCCAGAGCTCCCAGGAATATGCTACTAATATTAGTAGTGCGCGTGGGCACAATGAACAGGAGGACTGGCAGGCGTGCCTGGGCTGGGCACTCAGCGTCTGGATATGCTTTTTGGCTGGCCTCTATACTACCAGTCTGCTCATATATCGCCTGCTTCTCCACCCGCTCAACCGCTTTCCTGGCCCCTTTGCGGCGCGCATCGGCGATCTATGGCTGTCGCTGCAGCTCGGCGGCCATGACATGGACCGGCTTAGCCAGCAGCTGAGCACTACATACGGAGCCTATGTGCGCGTCGGCTCCTCGACGTTGATGCTCACCCACCCCCAGGCCGTGGCCGCCATCCACGGGCCTGGCAGCCGCTGTCGAAAGGCAGCCATGTACGACTTTGAGCAGCCTAACCGCGGCATCGCTACGCGCGACATGGGCCTTCACGCTGCCCGCCGCCGGCTCTGAAGCAAAGGGTTTGGCGACAGGGCGCTCCGCTCGTATGAAGCGCGCGTCGCTGTCTATGTGCAACACCTGCTCGCCCGTCTGGAGCAAGCCCGTGGCCAGCCCGTCGACGCTGCCCGGCTGACCGAGGCTTTTGCCTTCGATACCATGGGCGACCTGGGCCTGGGAAGCGACTTTGGTATGCTGCACAGTGCCACAACGCACGCCGCCGTCCAACAGCTCGTCCAGGGCATGACCATCATGGGCCGCCGGCTACCCATGTGGCTGATGCGCCTGCTCGTCGACATTGCCCAGTCGCTCGTGCCCACCGAAGCAACAACGGGCTTCCTGGCCTTTTGCTACCGCCATCTCGACCGTCTCCTGCTCATGGACGACCTCGAGCGCGTCCAGCGGCCAAGCCTCATGGCTCCCATGATTGCCCACTACGAGCACCAGCCACCCGCCCATCGCGACCTATCCGCCCTTCGCAATGATTGTCGTTTCATAGTCATTGCTGGTAGCGACACCGTGGCAGCCACTCTAGCATTTGCCCTATTCTACCTCGCCAAACATCCCCAACACGTCCCTCATGTACGGAAAGAGTTGCAGCCACTGCGGTCCGTCAACCGTCCGTTCCTCGACCATCGCCTCCGTGATGCTGCCCCATATCTCAACGCAATCATCAACGAGACGCTGCGCCTGCACCCTCCTGCATCGACCATCATGCGCATTACCCCACCCGAAGGCATTACCGTCGCTGACACCTTTGTTCCGGGCGATATGACCGTCTTCTCCTCGCAGTATGCCATCGGGCGCTCCGAAGCCCTCTACACCAACGCTAATGACTTTCGTCCCGAACGCTGGCACTCGCACCCTGGCCTAGTCAAAGATGCATCGGGCTATGCACCCTTTTCAGTGGGCCAGCACAGCTGTCTTGGTCGGCCTCTCGCCCTCATGGAAATGCGTCTTGTTCTTGCCGAAATTCTATCTCATTTTAGTCTAACGTTTGCACCCAACTTTGATCATGCCTCCTTTCTAGACCGTGTTCATGATTGCATGTCGTGGCATATTAGCAGCTTGGACCTGTGTTTTACTCCACTTGACTGAAATTCTCAATCTGGTTGGATAGTATGCGTATAGTATAGTAGTTGTAAAATGCTATCTACAAGAAGGCCTTGACCTGCTCCTCACTCCACTCCCAAAACGCACTTGCATGACCGTTGCCTCCCTCAGCTTCGCTTCTGGTCGCATCAACCAAATCATTACGGATAGGATAGAGTCTGCCCCATGGAACAACTAATTAGTTGGAAACACAACGTCAGTCATCATCAGAATCACAACAGTCGCATGTGTGTACTTACTCCAAGCTCCAGAGTCTTTTATGCTCAATGTAGGCGATAAGGCAGCAAATAGCTCGACGTAAGCTCCATATCTAGGGGGAAATAGCACGGGCCTCAGTGCAAGCTTGAACAGTGATCCCCCTTGGCGATATAGGTCGGACCTCAAATGGCCCGGATTGATTGGAAAGCTCAAAATGCCGCCACTCGCATACCGCTTCGCACACTCGACTCCATGTAGCCAATTGCCAGCCTTACTTAGCCCATAACGCTCGAGCGGCGACATAAGCGGCCAGTAGTCAAGGTAATCAGCCGACAGCCCCCGTTCATTTTCTCCGATCGTCTCGGTGCCTATTGAAGACACCCACACAATGCGTACAACACCAGCATGTTCCTGGCGCGCCGTCGCCGCTAGCACGCCTCTGAGCAGGCGCGTGAACAAGAACGGCGCTAGCACATTGACTCCAATGTGCACTTCGTAACCCTGTGCTGTGCGAGCTTCGCCATTAGTGTCTTCGAGCGCTTGCACGCCTGCATTGTTGATGAGCCCATGAAGGCTGTTTTCGAGCGAGACAAATTCCTCTGCTGCTTTCTTGACCGCATTCAAATCTGCTAGATCTAGCGGTAGAATAGCAAGAGTGCCCAACGACTTGGGCACTGCTGCCTGAATACTGGCCATGGCAATCGACGCCTTTGTCCCAGGTCGCACTGCCATGTACACCTTAGCATTCTTGGAATACAGGATTGTAGCCGTCTCTTTGCCTACGCCTGAGCTAGCGCCAGTGACAATGTATACCTGTTGTAGGCGTTATCATATGCAGCTCTTCTGCCCAAACCGCTGCTTAAGACGAGTTTTCTTTTCTACACACCTTGCCACTAAGATCAGGTACCTGCTCTTCGGTGTATGTCGGCTTTGGTGGAAACATTTGCGTCCACATACTTGACATTGGCTGCGAGCCCACTTCAGGCCTCTTTGCATGGCTCGGTGCTTTCGCTGTCGGCATAGTATCGGTTGCAGCGTTCATTCAGGAGATAGTTGCCGACTAGGTCGATGAATAAAACACAGTAATATGCAACATACCTTCATCTTGCTAGCAACCTCCTTGATAAATGAGGGGTACGTGAGAGCTCCACTCCTGATAGGATAAAGCTGTTTCCGAATCCAGAAGTTGACTCCGAATTCACCGACAGTATCTCTGTTGAATTGGTATTACTTGCGATATTAGCTATTCTAATTTTGGTTCAGCACAATGCATCAATATGACTCGCACCGCTATACCACTCGGAATATGACGAGATATTGCAAGTTCCCATAAAGCAATTGATCTGTGTTTACTTAAAGTAAGGTTTAGGTTAGCTGCTGACGTAAATCTGACCATACCCTAAAAGGCAACTCAAGCCGATTCTAATTCTGTGCATTATCGATCACATCCGCAGCCACTCTCAAAGATTAAATTTGCTGACGCGTTTGGCTGATAGGAGGTACTAGGATAATAACGGAATTCGCACAACTGCAAGGAGGTACGTGCGAAAAAACAGACTTTGAGCCAACTGTTTCTTCGCAAATAAACTTCCACAGGGAAAGTTACCAATTTCCTGCATTCAGGGCAAGGCTTCTGATCCTTTCGTATTGCTACTGTTCATCTTTACTCCCAATGTTTAGTTTTTCTACCAAAGTGCTGCTGCTAGCGCCCGGCGTTTATGCAGCTGCCTTCTTAGACTGGCGAGCACAAGAAGCCAACTCTAGTTGCAAAGTCATACCCGGTGACAATGCTTGGCCATCCCAACAAACATGGAGCCAATTGAACGACACCATCGATGGGCGTTTGATACGAACTATTCCTCAAGCGGCTGTATGTCGGCCAGGAGGTTATGGCAGCCTATCGGAAAATAAGACCCAATGCGCTGCACTACAAGAAGAATGGGACTACCCCCAGGCATTGTGCGTTCACCTATGCACCTGTTTTTTCCTGCTAGACCTTGATACCAGAACATGCTAACACTTGGCACCGCATAGTTTGAATAAGGCGGCTGAGGTAATGAATTCCTGGTATCAAAACACGTCCTGCAGCCCATTCTACCGACTTGATCAGTCTTGTACACTAGGAAATTACGTCAGCTACGCCATTCCCGTGTCTGGTCCCGATGACGTCGTCGCCGCCATTAACTTTACGCAAGCGCACAACGTACGTTTAGTCATCAAAAACACAGGTCACGACTTTCTGGGCAAGTCCACCGGAACAGGTGGTCTATCACTCTGGACTCACAATCTTCAATCCAAGGAGATCGTAAACTATACCAGCATTGCATATACTGGCCCTGCTATCAAGGTTGGGGCTGGTGTCACGGGTGGAGACGCTCTTCTTCATGCATCTCAATTTGGGTACCGCCTTGTATCAGGCGATTGCCCGACAGTTGGTTACGCGGAAGGATACTCGTCTGGGGGCGGTCACAGCTTGTTGAACAGTGTACATGGCCTAGCTGCGGACAATGTACTGGAGTGGGAAGTAGTCGCAGCAGACGGGAGATATCTGACTGCCAGTTCATCCAAAAATGAAGACCTTTACTGGGCGCTTTCTGGTGGCGGAGGAGGTAATCTTGCCGTTGTTCTCAGCATGACGGCAAAGATACACACCGACAGCGTCATCGGTGCCGCAACACTAAGCTTCAATACCACCGCCAGCCCTAGCAACGCCTCGTACGTCTCCGCAGTCAACTCATGGTGGAAATTCCTACCCACTCTTGTCGATGTTGGCGCATCCCCTTCTTTCAACATACTCGATGGCAAATTCATCGTCCATAACACTACGGCACCGGGAAAATCAGCAAGCGAAATGTCCGAACTGTATGCGCCCTACCTAGCGCAACTTGACGCACTGCAAATCCCCTATAATTTCGCCACGTATGCTGCTACATCCTGAAGATTATTATAATAAGAAACAAACGCCCGTTCCTGAACGGTCCGTTTCTAGTACTTGGGTCCTTCTAGTATCAAGACGGATCACGGTAAGCCGAGATAGCCGATGACGTGCTATGATGATCATTACGGAACTACAACATATCCGAGACAAGTGCTACATAGGGTTCGGATTTAATGTAGGCGGTTAGTATGTGCAACTGTCATGTCTACGCTGGTAAATAGGGTGTCGGCATGTCGGCTTACCATGGAATATTAGCGCCGTACCATGGGCGGCACACTAGGGTTAATTTGATGTGCGCTATCCACATGCGACTAGCGCAGCAAATTTTTATATATTTATTTTAGCAACACGTTTATAACACGTTCCTATTATATACTACTAATACTACTAATACACACTATTACTACTATTGCTATATTAGATTTCCTATTTACTTAACTAGGAAACGTTTAAAATAAGTTCCTAACTCGTTTAAGAAGTATCATCTGTTAGAATGCGAGCTTCTGCTAGCTAAGGTAGCGGAAGTAGCTGCTTGTTCTAATAGTAGCTCAGATGTAGTCTTTGTTACTACTTGTCTAGTAATAGACT